CTATGAGTTGGTTCTGACTCGATGGCACCTGACAACAACAACATACTTTTAAATATTGCCCTACAAAACTCTGCACTTTCTAGAAGTATTGAAAGACAATTGAATTCCAACCTGAACTCAAAAGTACCTACTACCTGAGAACATCCTAACACTGGGAGCACTTCTCACCTGTCAGTCAGGACTAACAATGACCTCTTTGTATCTCAAATATAAGAAAAAGCACAGTAGTAAACTTACCAGAAAATGGACTGAAATTATTATCATATGCATAATAATACTGACTGAATAGATTTAAACATTTGCCCTTCATCTTCTTCCCAATTTATATTTATTAATTAATTGTGGCACTGTAGGATGAGCACTGAATTGCCAATCACAAAGTCTGGTTCAAACCCACCAGCTGCCCCTCAGAAACCCTATATATGGTCACTATGAGTCAGAACAGACTCGACAACTCTTATCCTCAACAGCCTGCTAATAAATATATTTGATAACAGTTTTTTTTTCCAAAATAGAATACACATGTAATACAAAAAAATATATATATTCATATATTAACTGAATTACATTAATTTTTCTCATGTTACATATAATTTCAGCAATTTCATGTAAAATTTTAAAAGAGTTTCTATGAAAATATATTTCCTTTAAATTTGTATTCTCATTAACTAAGGACTGAATGAAGCTCAATTAATTTTTATTAAAGTGGAGATAAAGAGCTCTGGTAGCGTAGTGGTTACGTGGGAGAAAGATGAGGCTTTCTGCTCCTGTAAATATTTACAGCCTTGGAAACCCTGTACAGAGTCGCTATGTGTCAGAACCGACTCCACGGCACATAACCACCACCAAAACGACAAAACTTAAAGGCAGAAAATAGTTCATAGTAATTTCCCTGAAAAGAAGAAAAGCAAATTCAATATTTTCTTTCATTCTTGAAATTTATTTTCAGGAAATTCCATGATTTTAAAGAAACAATTTGTTGTGTTTTGAAGTGCCGTCGATTAGGTTCTGACACATATCAACCTTGTATAGGGTTTCCTAGGAGCAACAGGTAAGCTTGAACCACCATGCTTAGGGTTCAATGTAACTTTGCAGTCCAGAGCATTAACCCACAGCACCAAAACAAGAATCCAAAGAAACAGTAGTTGTTGCACATATTCTGTATATAAACCATGCCCATAGATTTTTTTTTTTT